GTTGGTGATTACCTAGAAAGTGAGGATATTCGCCATATGAATTGGCCAGCCATATCTCCTGACTTTGACCACTGTAGAGTGTATCTGGAATGCTCTTGGGAGGGCAATTTCATCTCGCCATCAGCCTCCAAGAATCATCCTGGAATTGAAAACTGCTAAGAGTGAGATCTACTGCTACAGGGACTCCTCAACTGCCTCCTGTCCAGTATTCTGTCATGTAGCACAATCTTTCTAGCTGTGAGAGGGTATTGTACCCCATATTAGACTCATTTTTTGGTTCAATATCACAACGTGTCCCTGCACTGAGCTTTAACAATAATCATGAGTACATGAAATCACTTTTGAATGATACATCTCTTTCTCTGTTATAACTGTATATTCATGCCAAATTTCATTTAAATATGTCATAAGTTTTCATAATTCATTTTGAAGTTTTATTGCTTTATAGTCATAATCTAATAATTTTACAAAACATCAATTAAACTAGAAATACTTTCATTTTAAATTTACGTAAATAATATTCCGAGTTGGCTATGTACCGCTACTGAAGCCTGCTAGAATTTTCTTTAGCATAAATTCTCTAAGACACTGTGAATAAAGTCTGCTTTTTGAAAAAAATTCATATGGATTATTATTTTTTGCAATAATCTGCAGAGAAATGTTTGTCACTTAATCTATTAACATCAGAAACCTTTTTCTATTTTATTTTTAGATATATACAAATGCAGGCATTTCAGTTTGCATACGGCCCTTGATTATGATCTCAAACTATAAAATGGAATATCTCTGTCTTTTTTTGTCATAGGAGAGTCATACATTTTGTATTTTATTTTTTAAGATGATTATTACTTTTTCCTAAATGTAAGTATTGAGTCCAGGAGAGCATATAAAGAGTTAGATTTCCTAACTTTTATAAAGAGGATTTTTCTTAAATTAAAAATGCCAAGTCATGAATATTTGTACCATTTAAAATATTTTTGTAACTGAAACAATATATCTGCAGCCAAACAGTTCAGAAAGTAAGGCTAAGTAAATACTTCTGTGGATGCAATATATGTGTTATTAATCTATTATTTATTATATTTGACAGGAAATAATGCTTTCAGTTTGTCTCACTGTTTATATTATTCATCCTTTGTAGTTAAATATTAGCAAATCTTCTTAACCCAGTAACTTAAATTATTTAAAATTTTAGTTACACACAAATTTTTCAAACTTATACAAAGTATAGTTGTAATAGATGTCACTTTATTTAGTTATTTTTTTACTTTAATGTTGCTTAGTTTTAGTAGAAATTTTGTATTTTTAATTTCCTATCCATATATATATATATGTACAGGGTGTGTCAGTACAGCGGTGACAACCTTTTTTTTCCTATACGATGGGAAATCACATAACAATACATGGTCGGAAACGCCTTCCTTGGCGCACCTGTGAGCTGACACAAAATGAAAAAAAAAAAGGACACAAGTAGTGAGACAAAACGTCTTTTATTATGTAGCAGAAACCTACAAATAAGAACAAAAACAACGATTGTCATTAAAGAAAGTGTTCGAAATTACGACCCCGGACCGTGATGCATACTCTGGCGCATGGAAGATTTGCATCACGAATGGAAGATCACATGGAAGATATATGACACACGGTTCCTGCATCATGGTATGGGTTGTAATTTTGAATACCTTCTTTGATGATGTTCGTTGTCTCACTATGTTGTTTTTTCTATGTTTTTGTTGTACTCCGAATAATAACATGTTTTCTCACCCCTGTTCGTCTGTTCTTTCTTGACTTTTGTGTCATCTACTGTGCCAGGAAAGCGTTTCCGACCATGCAATTCCTGTGTGATTTCCCATTATCTAAGCGCACTGTATCTCTCCTGAAAGTTTGTCACCGCTGTGCTGACACCATTGTTGTCTCTATATTGTAATGAGTATTAAAACTATCTGATTTGTTAGATTAAGTCTACTACTATAAATTGTCACATAATAAGCATGTAATCAAGAATCTGAAATTGTTCTAATATCACACAAATTTTAACTAAATCATTATATAGTAGGAAATGTAATTAACTGCTAGTGGTAAAATCTCTAATAGAATTTTTTTTTACTAAAACTGCATATAAACAAATTTGTAAATCATTTAGACTAATTAAATAATACATATTTTGAGAATTGAAGAATTAAATGGTATAAGTTAAAGGCCGTGATGAAATTATAAATATAATGTAAATGTATACATCAGTTTATTGTAGTGTAAGGAAAGAAGTTTTGTCCAAGTAGAATAAAAATTAAATTATAAAAAATCACAGGGTTGAATAAAAGCTGGTTTAATGAAATTTCATAAATGGATTGAAAAGTACATAAATTGCCTTATTTTGGTTATTTTTTATATTGCGTTATTTGGGTTATTTTTTTATATTGCCTTATTTGATTTTTTTTTAATTATTGCATTATTGTTAAAATTTGAGCATTCAAGTTTCATGTACAAAATTCGCTTGATGATCTGTTTGCATGTTCATATATAAAATCAGTAGAATAGTTTTCTGATGAGTAAAATTTTATGCCCAAAAGCATGTAATTGATACATTTTCTGTTATGCACATTGGGTACAATTTAGCTTTGAAAAGGAAAATTCAGTGGTAACCTCTCAACTGTTTTTGAAAAGGGAGGTATTTGTAGTGTCTTCTTTGGAAGGTGTGATGACACCTGTGATGTCTGAGGAAAAGAAGATATTTTTTATGTAGTTGGCTCGATAGGGGATTAAATATTACTCATGCAGTTGATTGTTTTTTTTTTTTTTTTTTTTTTTTTTTTTTTTTTTTTTCCTTTTTTGTGCAGTTAGACTACACTAATAAAAATGTGGTTTAAGTATCCGTTACAGTAAGTTTCCATATTGATAAAAAGGGTAAAAACCAAGTAACTGCAGAACATTTTGCAATACCATGTATCAAAGATGCTGTTCAAGCTAGATTTGGAGAAAAAGTGTTAAAAAAATTAACAGCATTTATTTCTCAAATAATGTGGTGTTTTGGAGAATCAAGAACATATGGTACTGAATCAGTAGTAATTGAGAGAACGTAATCTGTTTTTAAACAGGTTGCTGACAGCATGAAATTAACAAACTTTGGCTGGATGGTAACCACTTCTCTAGTGTAACATTTCTGAAATGATGTTCCTTAGAATCTTCAGATTCCAACATGAGAATATCAAAAATTCAAAGAATATGCATTAAATTTTTATGAATATTAACTCCTTACAATATTCTAAGCCCACAATCAAGAAAGCAGATTTCAGGGCACTGCTGGCCTTGGCCCACTAGGGCTGTTGTGCTATTGAGTTTAGTTTAAAATATTATAAAAATGTTTATGTTAATGGTTGAAATGATGTTTGCTTTAGGTCACTTTTAATGCAACTTTATATGATAAATTGCCGTTGTAATTATAAACTGGAGGTTATATATTAGTAGACATACCAGAACCTCTGAAAAATCATGTATTGGAGATATTGACCTACCTACCTACCAAAAAAATAAAAAATATTATAAACATCTATGATGTGTTATAAACATCCATGATTGATTAGGATCTTACGAAACTGGACAATATTCCTGGCAGTGCTCAACCAGCTGCAACTTTTATTAAAAAGGTGCTTGTTGTCAATTCACTTTGAAAACTGGTTCTTATTTATAACATTTTTCGTAAAGAAACCCATGATACTGCTCCCAAGTCAGTTTCCTCTTAGTTCAGCCAGCTAGAAGGAAGATGAAGGATTATGAGCATCATTTACAAATGATATGATATTTCTACTTAGCATCTTATTCAATTATTTGAACACAGCTGCTTGATTGTGTATAAAGAGTTCTCAGGAAACTTTTAGTAATCTGTCTGGTATCACTGGTAGCCAGTGCATTTCTGTATTTTGCTTTACTATTTTATAACACTTTTTCTCATGTGTGTTCATGTTGCCTCATATTAAACCAAAAATTATGTGTGTATGATGCTAGTATGCAATTTTAATTAAATTCGCCAAAAAAGTTTTTTAATTGCTTCTAAAAATTGCTAGTGACTAGCATTTGGAGGTCTCCCCCCCTTCGTTTTTTGAGGGAATAGGTGGTAGATATATTCTCAAGGTTCAACTTATATTCATTTAGACTGCACATAGAATATTAAGGCATTAAAATATATTTAATAAAGATATTTCAGTAATGGATCAAGACTTAAAAAAAAATACTGCTGAGCTTAAAATTCAGGTTTGTTTATATGCAATATTTGCCTCTTAGATTTTACAGTGACTTAAAAAAAATCTTCAACATACAAACTTGGCCTTTTATTGCCTTTTTGATGGGATGAATTAATTTCATCATGCCAAAAATATGTTATGAAACTGGGTATTTTTTCTGTAGATGAGTTGAATTGGTAAATGTTAGTTCTCATTCAGTCATTGTTTGTGATTAAACATTGAATGTAACACTATAGTATCTGCTCAATCATAAATCACTGTTATTTATTTTTTACCTAATGGTCATCATAAATACTATTTTTCATTTTCTTCATAAAATTTTGTAGTAGGTTTCTATCTCAATTTCATAGTTTCTATAAGAATAATAGAATGTAGATCATCCTAATCAAGGCAATACATATTCTTGTACAGATAGATAGTTTTCAGGTAATTATCATATGTAAAGTAGTTTCCATGGCATAATATTAAACCACAAATAATTTAAACTTAAATAAACCAAAACGATGCTAGTGCTGAATAACAATCATCTTTGTTAAAAACAATGAAGGGAACCTATATTTCACTATATTTCCTTTCTCAGATATCATGGTCTACTGTACTTTATTAAATAGTTTTGTCATAAAGTATAAATGATACAATACATATCTAATAATTATCTATGTTAAAAAGAAATTAGTAGGTGTATGTGATGATAATTTTTTTCTTTTTATATTAGTAGCTGTAGATAATGATAATTATTATTTTTTCTTTTTATATTTTAAGTTATGCTGCTGGGGAACAGGGCATTTACAAAGACATGCTGTTAAAAGCTCTTGAAAATGAACCATTTGGTGATATAGGTGTGACAATCGTGAGTGGTTCAAGTTTACCACGGCATTCTGATCATCATCGATGCTACTTGCGAGGTTCTACTATTAAGGTAGATTCACTTCTACTATATTAGACAAATTTTTTTAATCAATCATATAACTGTATTAACATATTTATTTTAATTTTTAGGGGCCTGTATATTTCCTTGATGATTCTAAATCTGCCATATCATTAAATGATGCTTTAATGTGGGCAAAAGTTAATCGTTTCTCCCCACTGAAAACTGGAATGACTATAAATCCGTTTTAATACTGTGATGTATTTCAGAAGCAGTTAAGGCATTTTGTAGACTGAAACTTCATTATAAGCTCATAAGCATATTGTGATATATAATGCAATAGTTTCTCCTTAATTAACATATTTAGTGTATGCTTTAAATAAATATGCAATCTAACAAAAAAAAAAGTTGCATTAGACTGTTTATGTGGGCATTATGTTCATATATGAAATATACATTCTCGGTATCACCTTCATTATCATCAAAATGTAATTATAGCTTGGTATTTCTTGAAGAATAATTTAAAGATATATTAGAGAGAAATCAATTCTGAAAATTTTTCCTGTCAGAAAACTGCTACTATTAATTAATTCAAAAGCAGGCCCAGTGCCAGAACATTTGCGACTTGTGCGACCCCACTGGGGGGGGCAATTTTTTTTATTTAGAAAGGAACTGGGTGGCAGAATTTTGGATTTGTGCAGATTGAAAGCAGGTGGCAAAAAAGTCTAGTGCTGACCCTGTGCAGAAGTATCAAATATGAGTGGTTATAGACATTGAAATGAATGTGATAATGATGTTTTGCACGTAAATTTGCCATGCATTGGAGAGAAAGTTCAGCAAAGTTTTGTTATTATTATTATTTCATATGATTCTCTTTGATATTTTTTCACAATAAATAATGCTTACATGCTGTATACAGTGTTATCTTCATATTTTTTAGGATAACTGTATTATGACAGTTGATATAGTTTTAAAATTTAACTAAAGTATAAAATCTGAGAAGTTAGCAGTATCTACTATGTTAGTAGTCTCAAACTTAGTAATTTTATGATTTCCTTCAAAAAATAACTACTTGTTATAGTGCTGTTATGAGATTAAAGTACGCATATCTTTTTGCATTCTAATTGTGGCTTCACATTTAATGAATTTCAGTCCGGAATTTTGTATTTTCTTTCTTAAATATGTAATTAATACTGGCTTTTGTATATAACTCTTAGCATGTCAATAATTTTACTTTCTAGAAGAAACAGTAGGTTGGCTGGACAAGTTATGTTTAAATTTTTATCATTAAGAATTTTATGAGGAGGGTATCAGTTATTTATACAATGAACATTAGTATATCTTTCATAGCTAATATCTATTGTAAGTTTCCTTTCTTGAATATCATAATTAGTAAAATGGATGCTGTTATTTGGAAGCCTTTTTATAAAGTATAAATGCTAGATGAGAGAATTAGTGCTCTTTCAGTGAATTCTTTATATGTAACTACTTCTAAATTGTTTAAAAAAAATGCAAATTTGCCACAGTTTCTGTCCAGTGTCATGTCAGTTTCTCCGTATGATTGGAGCCTATTATATCCATATGATTGGAGTAATGGATGGGCAGGTTGACAGTAAAATACAATGACCTCTTTCAAAGAGGCATTGTTTATTATTCAACATTAAAGATTTTTGATAATCTATGATATTTTTAGTACAATGTCTGGGCTACCTGAATGCAGCATTGCCAGGCAACATGAAATGAATCTATTCATGAATCTACTACCATCAGTAATATATTTATTTTTTCTTCAATATTTTGTTTATTATATGCTTTATAAGTAGACTTTATAAGTTCTTTTACTCCCAAATCTGAGAACATAAGGCACAGTGGAATTTTGATGTATTCTGAAAGGGTCCCAGATTCTCAATATTATTAACTGTAGTTGTAAATAGGCAGTGGGGATTTTACTGTGTATCTACTGCCTACTATAAAAGAATGTTTTAAAAAAGATATGGGAAGTTTGTTAGATGCCGACAAGCATTATTAAAAGTTAAATCTCTTTCTTGATGAACTTTGGTTATCTATAATGTTGAAAAAACTAAACATTTTTTATTCTGAATAGGGACAGTTAGAAACATTCTCTGTAGTTCTTCTGTTTTCTCCTACAAAATTTTAATGATCTGTTTTATATTTTGCTCTCCACTAAAAATCATTTTTTGATATTCCTTTATTTGTGTTGATTCTCCCTGCCCTCTGTACAATGCAGTATGTCTGTGAATAAATTTTAACTGTAGTGTATTAAAAATATTTTAAGTCTAAAATTTCTTTCCTCAGTCCAATTTATGCCAGTGAAGTGCATATATTCCTAAATATTGCTATTATTTTTTTAAGTTTAATAAATAGGATTGTCATTTTCATCATAAACTCTGGTGTGCCGTTCATAATAGGAGAATCATATAAATCAGATCATATAATTCATCATCACAGGAAATGAGTGTAGTTTGATGAACTAAACTCTCATGCTTCAGCAGTTTAGAATTCCAAATATGTTTGTTGGAAAAAAACCTAACTGGTTATGAATGAAATTTGAAATTAAGGGATATCGCACTTTCAATTATGGTAATTTAAAGATTAGTTTGAATTTTGTTTTCCCTTATCATTTAAGTAGCAGTAATATTTTATCCATAAAAAAAGAATTATATGAGAATTTATCGTCAGACTATCGGACCACTGGCTGTGGATTATTATTCCCTCTAACTGCCTTCTGTGTATACGTTGGGGCATTATTTTCTTTACCTCTGTCAAAAATCATTTCCGTTGCTAATACACGTTATAAGTAAAATTACATTCATTGAATCAAATTAATAATGAATCATTAAAGGAAAATTGTAAAAATACTTCTTTTGTATGAAGATGAAAATATTAATTACTGTTAATATTTTTAGTGTTATAAAATCATAGAACAGTTTTCATGATTCTGTGTAATACATTAAAATACAAGGATATGTGAATAAACCAAGTCTGAATATTGTGATAGTTTATATCATGTTTCAAAGGACAGTTTTCTGTTTTCTGGGTTATTGATCTTTATGATACAAGGGTGATTCAAACGGAAACCTTAAATTATTTTATAATGAGACACATGAAAATGTGCAGAAAAATTTTCTGTACATCATTTTTTGATGTTGTCTCCATTATGTGTAGTACATGTATTCCAGAGCTTCAAAACTGCATGGATGCCTTGCAAGATGACTTGCAACTGTAGCCAGTTGTGCAGAGTGGTTTTTATTGCTTTGGAAATGTATGTCCCATGTTGTCTCTTTCAGCTGCCAGAGTACCTAAAATTCACTAGAATCAATGCCTAGTGAATAAATTTGTTTGCATGATATATTCAGATTTCAGCCCTGAATGGTTGCAATTGTTAACTGGGCAGTATGCAGTAGAGCTTCAACGTACAGTAATAGTGCACCTTAAGTCATAAATCTGTCATTTAATTCTTGATTTCAAGGTGAAAGTGATTTTAGAGCAGATTTGCATAAGAACTATTGGTCAACTGTTATTCCCTCTTCTATGTAATGTTCCATAATTCCACCCCCTCCCATTGCATCCTAGAAGAGAGTGAGTATGTTGTTTTTTCCTGCTTGATGGGATAAGCTTCTCCACAGACGTTATTCCACTTTCAAATTCATGTACCACTCATATACTTACTCCATGGGCACCCCTGTATTGTGCTTACATTCTGCAACGAATTGAAGTTGGCTTTATACCATTACTACTGAAAACATGCATCACAACTTGCAGCTCTAATGTGTTGCATGTCAACAACAATGAGGTGGCTATCTTTGAACTGACATTGCTTCCTTCTTCAGTAATCCAGCGTCATACTGTCACCTGTTAATCATTCTTCAAACCACACATATAAATCCTGCCAACTTACAAATGAATCATAGAACTTTTTGGGATCGTATTGCATTTTTCAGGTTCTTTTGTTCTTTTGTTTGTTTCAGGTTCTTTTGTTTTGTTCTTTTGTTCTTACATAAATAGATATCAAATGTCACTGAAAAGATGCATATTTTTTATTTAAATGATTGTTATAAAAGTGTGCAGAACAAGTAAGTTGTTATATTAATTGATTGATCTTGCCATTTTAATGCATGTAATATATAGCAAACAGAAGTTTGTGAATGAAACTAAAATGGTGAATTAGGTTTCTAGAGAGTAAGGATAGAAAAGCTTAGTATTTCTGAATAGCATATTTTCTTCTCTGTTAGTAAGAACATTTGCTAAAAAGTCACAAATTCTGGATATGCTGTTTGCTCTAAATCCGCACTAAGTTGATTTAAATTATATTTAATGAAATGTCTTATGTTATTGCTCAAATTTTATCTAAAAGTGTTGACATTGTATATTCTATTAAATTGTAGATGTGCCTTTAACTACTACTGAAAATTGTTTAAATGCTATTACAGAGCTACATATTTTGTCTATTTCTATCCATGCAAGGGATTATGTACTTGTTTTAAATATTATGTAAAGAGAAAAAATGTGGATACTTCTGTGATATAGCACTATAGAATATTGATTGTAAATTTTTGTGTAGCATTGTGATAAGTGTTGCAGATTTGTTCTTTTTATGCCTTAAATGCATAATGCCTTTACAAAATACTTGGAACTAAATTTGTATAAAATCGAAAGTTGTAGGAAGCAACATTCTTACTTCTTAGTTTTCAATTTACAATCTGTGTAAACTTATGCAATGCTTAGCCTGGTTATACAACTGTTGTATTCTTTCAGATAATTCATCTTTTGGAATACTATTTAGCTCTAGAATAAGCATGTGGGTAACAGGTATCCCCCAGTGATATTTTTCACAAAGTTTGCAACACTATGTGTTATTTCCTGAGTTGTACCTTTCAGTAGCTGAATGTTAATTGTTAGTGTTTCTTGTGGTGGCAGTAGCACAAAATTGATTTTCCTTATTTTAGATACATTTTAATAGGTGTGTGACACCTGTCAGTCAAGCGCATAACTGTACAACACAAAAATTTGCACCTAATGTGAGGTTAAATATCTCACTATGGCTTTCTGGATCTCTTCAATACTTTTTAAATAATAAATTTATGTAAAATTTCAAATGTCTCCATTGCTGTTTATCCAGCTTTGCAGCACTTTTTTTGCTGTTGTTTGCTCAGCTTCAAAACTATAACAGGAAGATTTCACTAGATCAAAACAAACATTAACGGTATCAAAAATTTGGACCATAAGGACAGATGATATTTTAGGGAAAGCAAGTTGAGATGTTATAGTAATAAATGCTGTCAATTATCATTTGGTTAGTTTGCTGGAATTAGTTTAGAAAAATTTGTAGATGTAAAGAAAACTTTGTAAATGCACTTAATTTGTATTAAACATTCTAATCATTTTTTTCTGTCAGATTTGTCATTCGCATGATATATGTTTGTTTTGGTAAATTCAGCATGCAAATGTAATTAATTTGGGTGCAGTCTTTTGTGTCAGATAGATTTGAGCTAATAAGTTTGAATGAATCTATTCTGTGAATATAGTATATTAAAATTCTCTGCAGGCATTTGGCATTATCAGATTAAGTTTAATCTGTACTGTGCTCTAAAAAGATATTCTTAGTAATATAATTCAGCCAGTAAATTTTTCCTGTTGATGTAGAAATGAAGTATAATTATATCATATTGTAAGAGTGTAATATTTTTTAAATGGAAAGTATAACAATGTTTTAAAATTTTCAGCACTTGTTTTCACTTATTTTAGTTTTGTTACTTTAGTGATCTGTTATATGCATGTTATGTAATTTCCTGAAGCTCTGATGGCAAAATAATTTATTTTTATTTATTATTTAAAATAATTTAATTTATTTATAATTTTATGATTTTATGTTTAAAAAATTTATTTTATTGTAGTTATAATGTGCATTTAGATATCGATCCCAAGTTTCTTTCATATATTCTTGCTGTTTATTTACTATTAAAATCATTTTTATAATTTTATTTTGTATTTGAAAATCATTTTATATAATTTGTGTATTTTTATTTAAATTTTATTTATTTTTTATTATTTCTGATGGTAAATTAATTTATTTTTATTAATTTATTATTTTATTTTTAATATTCTTTTTATATTATTATAAATGTGATATGTTAACACAAAATGTATGTGAATACATGCTACTCATAAAGCTAGGTTCAACTGAATTAAAAGAACTCTCATAAAAATTTTGTATTGCTGAGGCTTCAGAATAAAGGGATTTAATTAAGGAATGTATACACATATTAAGGAAGATAGTAGCTTATATGTATTTGTGTTGTGTATTGATCGTGGTTTATTCAAATTATTATTGTATATTTAACATTTACACTTTGTAATAATTTTGTATCGGTGGCAATTTCAACGAATTTTTTTATTTAGAATCTGATCAAATTTATGAATACATGTTTTTAATTTAACTACTTTTATGTACCTTCTCCCAATTTCATTTGTATTTTGTCAGTCATGTATATGTATGTCAAATTTTTGGTTGTAAACAATAAACTTCCTGTAGACATTGTATGTGCTGACATGTTGTTAAGGGTGCATGATTGGTTTTGATTAAAAATGTGTATCTTATACCATACAACATGAAATGATAACTTATACATTTTATCATACTAAATACAGATTTTCTGAAGACTAATTTGATTTTGAGTAATACACTAAATAAGAAAAAATGTGCTCAAACTGGAAAATATTTCTTATTACTGGGAAAAAGTACTAATTGCTGGTTTATCAATGTACTAATATTGAATTATTAATACCGAAAATGTACTAATATTGAAAAATACCTGAATGCATGGAATCTTACTGTAGAAATCTTTATGATTAAGAAGAAATTATTTCTGTGGAAATACTAATTTAATTAATGGTGTAAAATGCAAAGTTTAATTAATTAAAATATTAAAAATATGCTTTTATTATAATTTGCTTGATGTTGCATTTTTTACTTTAAAGTTAAAAAAATTAGGTATAGTGAAAAAAAGAAAAGAAAAAGTTGTAACTATTTGTTATTCAAAGGTTTTTAATTTTTGTGTTAATAAAGAAAATAATTATAATGTGCATTTAGATATCGATTCCCAAGTTTCTTTCATATATTCTTTGCTGTTTTTTGTTTCATTTTATGTCTACTTTTTTAATTGTTCTAATAGGTTAATTAACCGTTTACACAGTATTAATGTATAAATTATGCTATTGTGCATTCATTCTCATTTCCTTCTTTGTTTAAAATATTTATGTGACATTAAAACATTCACTGTTAGGGGTTTAATAGTCTTTAAGAAATAGAGGGAAAAAACAGAACTGCTCCATTGATTACTTGAAAGTGTTTCAATTTTAATAGTAATTTTTGAATTTCATGAAGAAATTACTGAAAAACTAGGGCATTCGTTAGCCTTGTACCTTACAAGAAAAGAAAAACATAAAGACAAAAGAAAAGGAAGGTGAAAAAGCACTGAGAGAGAAAAAAAGATGAATCCAATAGCTCTTTGTAAACCTTGAATATTATCAAATATAAAATATTCTTGGTGCGAGTCTTTTTATGTCTAGTTAATTGGGCAAAATGGTTAACTTATTTCTTGGTTTGAACATCATTATAATAGAAAAATAATTTATCTTTGCAGTGTGTAGAGACATTAGGTATTATTTTGGAAGCAGAAAAAATGAAAAATGGGCAACGCCCTCTCCGGGAATCGAACCACGGACCTCTGGAATACGCATCGAGCGTGCAGACCACTACACTACGAAGGCACGCTAAGAAGGCAGGAAAAATACCTTATAAGTGAAAGTAACAAAACTTGAAAACAATCTTTCAGTTTTCTGTTCGAGAATAATTCAAAAGTTCAGTTTATGAAAAATGCGATCAATTATTTAAAAATTATATTGCAATTCCCGAGATGTTGATTATTGCTTAACACCTATAAGAGCATATGTTTATTTTAATGCAAAGTTATACATGTGGTTATTTTTACCGTGTATTCCATTTTAATGTTTTTCACCTATTTTACTATTTTAAAAAAAATATCGTAAGGCAATAAAATTTAAATTAACAAACAAAGATTATTAAACTTGACTGATACTAAATGTATTACAATTTTGAAACTTTTACAAAAGCAGAAGACTTGGTTTTATCAGGCATTGACATATTATATACTGACATAATGTAAAGTTCACAAACTTTTTCAGTTCCTTTGCTCAACCAGTGTTGCCAATATGAGAATGTAAAAATGCCCATCAGTCATATTGATCGATATGTAGTGTCAAGATTAAATAGTACATAAATAACCGTCATTCATGCATAGTAATAATTATCTTGTTACAGCTGCTAAAAATTCCTTTGAAAGTAAAATTATTAAAACTGTAGTATTTTAAGTTTAGTCTAAAATTCATAGAAAGATAATATTGGTATAAATTTACATTTGTACAAATAATAAAAATTAATGAA